GAGAAACCTACTCCTGTCTCATGGCTGATGAGAAGAACATTGCACACAGCAACTCCAAGCAGGATGCTTAAAATATATGTACTAATCATTCAGTCTGTTTTGAAATTAATTATTTAAGTGGCAATGGGATTAGAATGCAAGATTTTGGTGTCCTGGTAGAGGCTGAATATTTAGGCTAATTATGCTAAAGAGCAGTACCTTATCTAAATAGCAGTGTTTGATCTAGTGCTAATTAACTGAGAGCTCTCATGTGTTGAGTTGTTGATCCTTTTGCGGTTTCCCTGTAAAATTTTCCAAGCGTAGTGGCGATTTCTTTGCTGCATAATGGAAAAAACCAGGGTTTCTGATAGCGGAAAAATTCAAAAGATTATTGGTGATCTGAGAAAGACAACTGGGGTAACAGAAGACGCTGTGGTAATAGAGAGGGGCTCTGTCAACAGGTAACTCTAAGCTTGTATTGAGTATTTATCTCAAGATTACAAAATACTGAGGGAGCACTCCTCAGTAGGTCTACTCTGGCCCAATTTATTCCATAGGCTTACTCCTAGGAAAGCAGTGAATCACAGTTCAGTCCTAAGCATGTACACTCAGAGGTCAACCCCACTGAGTTAATATTTTGCATATGCATATTTTTTCCAAGTGTTAAGATCTTTCTTAACTCAGCAGAAACCCTGTTTGCATTACAGTGAGTGCATGTACATCCTGCACGTCCATCTGTTTGTGCGAAAGAGCAAACATGCATTCACTTTACAAGTGAAACCGGGAACTGGTACCTGGGTAAATGTGAGGTTTAAATCACACACTTAGCTGTACAAGCATTGAATGTAACATGAAAATTACTCAGCCCAATTGTAAAGAAAAATGAAGTATATACTGTATACAGATTGTACATAGGTGCACTGCAACTTGTGGACAGAGTTTAGGAGCATGAGATGGTTTTCTTGCATTTACTACAACAAAGATGTTAGGATGCAGGTATCAAAGGAAGGCACCCTAACCTTTGAATTCTCATCAGCCTGAATAAGTCAGCAGGCTGCTCTCAAGAAACATGGCATCCAGTTCTTCATTTGAATTTGGAGCCTGCATCCTTCTTTGCCCCAATTGCTCCTAGTCTGTTAGCAACTCTGGTTTCTCATGCTGTGGCTGCTGTTCTCAGTGCAAGTGAGCTCTTTGGGAGAACCAAAGCTTATGCCTCCTTGTAAGCCGCCCTGAGCTCGCGTAGCGGGGAGGGCGGGGTATAAATTGAACTTATAAATAAATATAAATTAAACCTACCCTATAACAGCAGTAGAATGAGGTGGTAGATTCTGAGATGGCAAAGTGCATCACATCAATTCAGGGTGCAGGTGGGGAAGGTAGAGTTGAATGATCCCCCATTTAAAATAAACTTCACTGTAGGGTAATGGTTAGAGTGTTGGGCTAGGATCTGGGAGGCCCAGGCTTCACTCCTCTCTTTGCCATGGAAGCTTGTTTGGACCAATCGCTCTCGGCCTAACCTACCTCACAAGTAGAGTTGCCGACTCCAAGTTGGAGATTCCTGGGAATTTGGAGGTAGAGCTTCAGAGGAGGAGGAGGAGGATACTGGATTAATACCCCGCCCTTCACTACCCAAAGGAGAGAGTGGCTTACAATCTCCTTTCCCTTCCCCACAACAGACACCCTGGGAGGTAGGTGGGGCTGAGAGAGCTCTTTTGAGAACTGCCTTTGAGAGAACAGCTGTAAAAGAACTTACGACTGACCCAAGGTCACACCAGCAGCTACATGTGGAGGAGTGGGGAATCCAACCCGGTTATCCAAATTAGAGTCTGCGCTCCTAACCACTTCACCAAACTCTTTGGTGTAGTGGTTAAGAGCAGTGCTCTAATCTGGAGAACCAGGCTTGATTTCCTGTTCCTTCACATGAAGCCAGCTGGGTGGACTTGGGCTAGTCACAGCTCTTTCAGAGCTCTCTCAGCCCATAAAAAAGTCTAGCTTGCCACTAGCACAATGCTAAGAGCTAGAATTTGCAGCTGCCAGACAATCCTAGGATCTCCTGGTTATTCTACACTCAGTGCCATACGATAACTATTAATTATTCAGAAGAGAAGAGATTGGATTTATACCCTGCCCTTCACTCGGAGTCTCAGAATGGGTTACAATACAGTTTGGTGTAGTGGTTAAGTGCGCAGACTCTAACCTGGGAGAACTGGGTTTGATTCCCCACTCCTCCAATTGCACCTGCTGATGTGACCTTGGGTCAGTCACAAGCTCTGGCACAGCTGTCCTTGAAAAAGAGCAGTTTCTGTCAGAGCTCTCTCAGCCCTACCTACCTCACAGGGTGTCTGTTGTGGGGAGGGGAAGGGAAAGGAGTTTGTAAGCCGCTCTGAGACTCCTTCGGGTAGTGAAGGGCGGGGTATAAATCCAATCTCCTCCTCCTCCTCCTCCTCTTCTTCTTCTTCTTCTTCTTCTTCTTCTTCTTCTTCTTCTTCTTCTTCTTCTTCTTCTTCTTCTTCTTCTTCTTCTTCTTCTTCTTGTGAGGCAGGTGGGGCTGAGAGAGCTCTGACAGAACTGCTCTTGAGAGAACAGCTCTGACAGAACTATGGCTTGCCCAAGGTCATCCAGCAGCTGCAAGTGGAGGAGTGGGGAATCAAACCTGGTTCTCCCAGATTAGAGTCCACACACTTAACCACTACACCAAATTTCACTACACAAGCTTCAAGGTGTAGACTGTTTTTCTGCCTTGTACTGTGTAATGTATCCATCTCAGACCGCGTGCGTGGCCATTTCACCACGGGGTCATGCGAAGCGGCCGAGCTTCGCTCTCAGTAACAATGGGACAAGCGGATCCTAGCCGGCACCTGTCGGCAGGCTAGGCTCACGGCCGTGAGCCTATGGAACTCTCGGCCACTGTAAATAGCCACTTGTGTGTGGGTGTGTTTTGGGTGCGGGGTTGTTGCACATATAAACCAGCCTGCGAGCTGGTTACTTTGTCTTGTTCCTGATCAAATAAAGTACGCTAAGCTGAAATCACTCGTCCGTCTGCGTACTTTTCATACTGCACATCCTGAATGCTTTGGATCCCACACACCTCTTCAGACACAAGGAGACAGCAATACGCCACTGGGCCTCCCTCACATGGCGGTGGAATTAATCACACTGATTATACACTACCAAAAAAGGACAAGCGTTCTCTGTTTACAGCTTCTTAGGGGCCTTCTGTGAGATGTCAGGACTTCAGAGTGGAGATTTCTACTTCCTCAGCTGAGCGACTCCACATTTCAGGAATGGGAAAACTTTTAACCATGACACAAGCCCTTGAAAGCATCCCTCTTCCCCCAGGCCTGTCCTCAAAGGGTAGCAATAATTCTCTATTACCTAAGAGGATGAAACTGAAACGTGCTCTTCATACAAAGGAAGCTGCTATGTGAGTTAAGAGACACAGTGTCCTCTCCTTTATCTAACAGTATTGCTGGGCCCAGAGAGTGCCGTTGGGTATCCGCTTCAAGGGACTAATGTGAGATTCTTAAAATGTTTCATTGGCATGTAAAGACTTAACTGCTTGTGAAGGTTGTGTTGGAAAATGGCACTGTTCATTCTAACGGCCCTGTAGACTCTAAAGCTTTCTGAAAGCCTTTTCAGATGATCAGTCCAAAATACTAGAAAGTGTATTATTGTTATTTATTTGGTGCATAACAGCCAAATATCTCCACACAAGTTAACACTTTTGATATGGAAGTACAATGTGGTGTCGTGGTTAGAGCACTAAACTTTGAACAAGGAGACCCAGGTTCAAATCTTCCCTCTTCCATAAAAATCAGCTTGGGCCATTCCTATTTATATGTATGCTGCCCTGAGCTTCTTGTAGGAAGGGGAGGATACCAAGGTGATAGATGGATTCTTGGTTTTCTCAGGACTCAAACTGCAGTATGTTTTCATTGGGAAAAGGCGATTCTTCCTCCAGCAAGAATATTGCGAATGCAAAGAAAACTTCAGATCCGTGCAAAAAATAGTACTTAGGGAAAGTACACTATTGGTAAAAAGGGCACATCAAAAAATTGCATAACAGTCATACTTACATGATGTTGTAACAGCCAACACGGGAAAGAGCTGAGTTTGTCCAGTCACCACGATTTGCTGCTAGGATTGGTGTTTTTCTAGGTCAAGGCTCCCCAGCTTTTATGAGCCTGCAAGCACCTTTGGAATTCTGAGACAGCAGTGTGGCTGCAGCAGAAGTTGGAACCAGCCACACCATGGCTGCCACAGCTTACCTTCAGTTACGCACTAAAGATACTCGTGCTGTGGTGGCAACTGCTGTCAAAGCAAAGATTCTAAAAATCTGAACAGCCCATCAAATCTCCAATGGCCAATTAGAAGACCTGCTGGGCAGAATCCCCACCTGACCTCACCCTCTTTCTGAACATACTTGGTGGGTACCCAGAAAGGTGTTGGTGGGCGCCATGGTGCCTGTGGGCACCACATAGCCCCCCCCCCCGTTCTAGGTGAATGTTCACATGGACAGATGATACCTGTGCCTCAACCAAAGGATGTGGTAGTTTTTCAAGAAGCCTGCTGTCTGTATACCCCATTTCGTATGTGGCATGCTAGTATAGGCCATTAAGATGCAAAACCATCAGGTGCTTTCAAAATAGGCCCAATAAGTATTGTGGGTATCATTGACCACCATAAAAGAGGCTTATCTCCAAAACTCAACCAGTACGTACCAGTGTTCCTTCTAAGCTGAGTTAGTGTGAGCTAGCTCTCAGTTTTTTTAGCCTCTGGCTCACACATTTTTGTCTTCGCTCAGGAAGGATGGCTCCAGAGCAAACTAATTTCTGCTGTAGCCAAATTGCTCGCTCACAACTTTAATGCCAGTAGCTCACAAAGTAGGATTTTTGCTCACAAGACTCCACAGTTTAGAGGGAGCATCTTTATGAGTTTTGGAATAAATGGCTTTTAAAAAAAAAAGATGTCTTTGTAGCATCTGGAAAACACTCAATCCCATGACGGTTTTCTCTCTACAGAACTGCCCATGCCAAAGCCAAGTCCGAAGGTGCTGAGCAAGCAGCACTAGCAGCTAACAACGAATCCACATTAGCCAGGTCGATGGCCAGAGAACTATCTCCAGATTTCTACCAGCCAGGTAAGAAATGGGCTATTTTCAGCCTGATAATCAGTTACAGGACCTGGATCCAGACCGGCTTTTTCACTCCGTCTTACATGTTTTCCTTCCTTACTATAGCCTCTGAGCCAAACTAGATATTATGGCATCCCTGGGTTTGACACCAGTGCCATTATACAGATGAATTCAGCCATTTAAAATGCTGCAAGGGCTCGATGCTGACTGAGCCCATGGTGCAGCAGGACTAGGTGATCTTGCCCACCCCCTATGTCTTTCCAAGTGCTGAAACAGCTATTGGGGGGGGGGAGGCTGTTGTTTCAGCACTTGCAAAGGGATGTGAGAGAGGGAACAAGGTCTCACGTGGCTTTTGTCTATGCAGCCCCATAATCCCCAGCATAAACTTTTGGCATCAAAGGGGACCTCCCTGCTCTTTTCTTCAGCAAGGGAAAACAGCGTTGGTTTCAACCCAATAAATACAGTCATAGAAACTGAGTGAAACTGAAGGGCCGGGCTGCTTTCTGGGGATGTACAGAATGCTTTTCAGCAACAGTTTCCTACATTCCCAGGTATGTGATCCCTCCTGTTCCCAACTAAGGATCCAGAACCTTAAAAGAAACTATCAGCTGTCTCTAACTCATCCATTAACATCAGGTTCCCTGGTTATCAAAGGCAGCCAAAAAGACAATATTTGTGTGAGGTTTTTTTAAAAAAACAAATAAAAACAAAACAACAACTTAGTATTAGGAGACCAATAACTTGACTGACAAAACATGTTGGAGGTGGGCAGAGAGTGAAGGAATAGATTGATATTCAAAAAGTAAATATAAAGAAAAGGCAAATCAAACATTTACATAGCACTAAAAATGGTAGAATGTAGAACACATAGAAATGGCAGTGTCTCTAGGCAGGATGTTCCCTCTAAGCTGTTGAGTCTTGTGAGCAAAAATTTTACTTTGTGAGCTCCTGGCATTAAACGTTGTGAGCGAGCCATTTGGCTACTGCATAAATTAGTCTGCTCTGGAGCCATCCTGCCTGAGCTAAGGCAAAAATGTGTGAGCCAGAGGCTAAAAAACTGTGAGCTAGCTCACACTAACTCAACTTAGTTCTCAAATCATGGCTTAAACCACGTGGATGAAGCAGAAAATCCTCTATTTGGGCTGTCTGCCTAAAGATCTCCCAAAAAAATCCAAAGACCTTTTGCCCAAACTAAGGCTTCTCCAGCTTTTTTTAAAAATGTAACTTGAATCCAGGGTAACACTTAAAAGGCACAAGGATTCCCACCCACGAAGTGTTACTTTCTTGCCTGTCTCTCCCATGATAGCCTGAAATACCTCCCAAATCCTGTTCCTGAGGGGCAAAGGATCCCCTAGGAACAGGATTTCAGGGGATATTTTGGGCTGCTGCAGGAACAAGGAGGCAGAAAAGCTGCTTTCAGTGGGCAGAAATCATTGTGTCTGCGAAATGCTAGTCTGGATTCAAGCTACATTTTTAAATAAAAGTATATATCTTTCCAATAATAACTGAGTTTTTCTTCTAGCTAGAGATGGTAAGATGTCCTCTTTTTCAGAGGACGGTCCTTTTTTTCAAGGGGTGTCCTCTGAAATGTCCAGCTTCTGTCCAGTAAAACCAGCTGAAGTTGTTATTTTTTTCTTATTGAAGCAGCTTTTTGTAAACATTTGAGTAACAGGCTATCATTCAAAGAGCTGAGCTTTGCCAGTTGCTCTAGACAGGGCTGGCACTACATATATATTTGCATCTATGAATGTAAATTAGCCTATGCAATCTGCAAATCCCCCCCCCCCCGTTTACCCCCCCCCCCGTTTCTTTAATCTAAAACATTCTTCTCCTGCCTTGTGCCCTTGGACTCAAGGCAAAGTTTGAGGGCTCTTGTCATCCTTCATCCTCTTCAGTCACCTGTATATGGTCACCATCCTCCCCACTCAGCCACCATCTTGCCTTTACCTTATTTGCCCAAGTAGCAGAAATATGCATTTGCTTTGTACAGTGAACAAATAGGAGAGAAGAAGAGAAGACGAGAGAAAGGGATTCATTAGAGTGCAAAGAGAGGGAGCCAGTCCACAACTCCTTAAACTCTACAGGATATTAGAAGGTTTTGCCAGTTCTGAAGCTTTTTGTATGTACCTTGTTTGTCAAATTGGAGGCTGTTGAGAAGCTTAGCGGGGGGAGGGGGGGGGGGGGGGGTCGTTTCTGTAATGGTTCCGGGTTAGGAAGCTGAGGCATGACTAGTCTCGGGGATCAGCAGAGGCAAATGGGGCAGGAAGACTGAAAACTTCCCAGAGTCTCCTGCACTATTGAAAGGGACTTTGGGATATGTTCTCACCACTCAGGGATGAGAGATCTTGAAGATAAAGCATTCTGCTTCCTACCTGGAGAGCCTTTTGCTATCACAGGGGACTACAAAAAAGCATATACTCACTTGGTATGAAGCCCAACTGGTCAGTTTATTTTTTTTTATTTATAGTCTGCCTTTCTTGCTGAGATTTGAGGAAGGTCACACAACTTAAAACACTAACCCTGTAATAACAACAATATAATACATGTGCAGTCAAACTGGATTGCAAAACTAGATGACAGTGTAATATACAATGCCAATAAGCAATGCAATGAAAGCTACCTAAATTTTTCTGAAACATTAAAACTACAACCCTATTCACTTTATAAAAACGCCTTTAGGAATAGAAGAATGCAGATTTTCCTGGAGCCTGGAGAGGGTGGGGTTTGGGTAGGGGAGAGACATAGGTCTCCCCCTAAAGTCAACATGGGGATTCCAGTTGGTGCGCAATGCCGCAACTTGGTTATTATCAGGAGCTAGGTGGAGCATGCATATGACTCCTATTCTGCAGTCAGTTCTTGGCCACCCTGCAAATGGGCAAAATGAACAACTGCCCATACATACCCATTCTCTGTTGTGGCCCCCACCTTACAGGATGGCCTGCCCAATGAGGTCAGGAAGGCTCCCACTCTGCGGGCTTTTTGCAAACTATGCGAAACTGAATTATTCTGGAAGGGTTGGTTGGTTTGTTTGTTTACACCGGAACTGTAAGGAAACTTCAGAAAGATGTTTTAGTAAAGGGCTAAGGACTGTATCCTATACTACTATGTACTATCTCTTACTGTAAGTATGCTCCTACTAGGTAATTTCTGCATCATTTAATGTGCCGTGTTTAAATGCTTATGCTTTGTTTCAGTTTTGTATCATGTTTCTGCTTGTTTTCGAATTTCTGCAACCTGAGCCCTATTGCATTGTTTATTGCCTCTCCCATCTGTTGATCCTATTGACTTACCCTGGGTAATCCTTCTTGAGTCTCAGTGAGAAAGGTGGACTATAAATAACACAAATATATAAATAAATGTAGGAATAACAGTACTGGCCTTCTTTACAGGACTGTTGTAAGATATTGTGAAAACCGAAAGTACTGTATAAATGTTAAGCGTTGTTAATACCCACTCAATCCCGGTGCCTGGTTGACCTTTAATGGTAGCATTACACCTTTAGGTAACCATAGCCTGAAATGAACTAGCTATGAAAGAAGACAATGAAAAAGTATCAAACCAACACAAACCCAAGCGCACATGCACACAGACATGCCAAGGGATTTGAGGAAATGTCTGTGCAGATTTCTTTTATTAAATCCGTATCACTCTGGCAGACATCCTTTTGCAAAGCGCTTCCCGGGCAATCAAAATGTCTCTGCTTTGTTGTTGCTGACTTTACTCCAGGAAGCGTCACAACATCACTGGGATGTTGGGCAGCCAGTGTGTGACACTTACAGTTAACAATAGCTGGGAGGTCATGTGATCTTGGCAGGAGAGTATCAGTTGCCATTCAAGTCTTCACAATTGCCCGGTGCATGCCAGGCTATGTTTAGTCTACAAAAGACAGGAAAATGAAATTTCCAATGTACCTGCCCCCCTAAGCCTCTAAATATTTGAACTGTTTCATTTTCATATATTCTGATTTTATAGCATCACTCAAGATGGCTTTGCTCTTGTGGCCTGGAACATTAGACAGGCATAAAAGCCGCGTGGGAAAGACCCATACAGTTTGCTCAGTCAATGTAGCTGTGATATTTATACACACATGCGCTAGCAACATGGGGATTAGGCCATATTCTGCTCTCTGTGCATGTATGAATAGGACCTTTGATGCTCACAGATAGTTACTGGATGTATGTTTACATATCAAAATGTTATATAGGGACTGAAATGTTTCCTTGATATATCTTAGAGATTCCAGTTGCATTCAGTAGGGTTGCCAAATGGGCCCGGGGGAGGGGAATCCCCCGCTTTGGAGGCCCGATTTCCGTGGCGGCGGAATCGGGCCCCGGGGGGAACTCCGCCCCCGAAGCTGCGTCACCAGAGGTGACGCAGCCACGTTGCTCACGTTGGGGGCGTGGCCCAGATCGTCGTGGGGGGGAAACCATATGGTTTCCCCCCTGACGATCTGGGCCACGCCCCCAATGTGAGCACGTAGCACGTCACTTCCTGTGATGTGCTGCCGGTGCACGCTCGCTTTGCGCGCACACACACACATCCGGCAAGAGCTCCTGGAGCCCGGCGAGGCTCCCCCGCTCCAAGGGGTGAGTACATTTGGCAACCCTAGCGTTCAGGGAGGTTCTCAGGAAGGTGAATCTCTATGTCCTTTCTTCACATGTAGCCATTTGCCTGACCCTTTTAAAAAGACAATTTTCAAGTGCAGAACATTATATCAAAAGCAGCCTTTGCAGCGATAATGATAATAGAATTCATTGTTTAGGAAGAATAAGAAGCGTTGCTGAATTGGCAGGGATGGTGATGTATACCAAACCGCAGGCTGTGGAAGGTCAGTAGTTCAGCAGTTAGAGACCCGGGTGCCGCATGATGGAGTGAGCTCCCATCTCTAGTTCCAGCTCCTGCCAACCTAGCAGTTCGAAAGCAAGAAATTCCAAGTAGATAAATAGGTACCACTTCGGTGGGAAGGTAACAGTGTTCCGTGCGCCTTGGTGTTTAGTCATGCCGGC